TGGATGCTGTGGGGCTGAGAGTCAGTGGGGGGATGCCATGGGCCTGGAGGGACTGGGTACAGTAGGTAGGGGGTGCTGTGGGCCTGGGGAGTGAATAGGGGTATGTCATGGGCCTGGAGGGGCTGGGTGCTGTGGGGCTGAGGAGCCTAGGTGCTATGGGGCTGAGGGCTTTGTGCGGTTGGCATGGGCAGCCTTTGTGTTATGTTGCTGGGTGCTGAAGGAGGGTGACTCGGAGCTGGAGGCTGCGGGGCATGGATGCTACTGGAATGGGGGAGCTGGAAGCCAGCAGAGGGTGCCACAGGGCTGGGCTCCGCTAAGCTGCAGCCCCGCAGGGTCTTGCAGGCCTCGCCATATACCTGGGGTAGGGCCTTCCCTAAAGCTCTCTCCTGCTTCTTGCTGTTTTGATGCCTGTGGTGTCCGGCTTGGCCATGCTGGAGGTTGCTGCTGCCCCTTCCCTGGCGGGGAGATGGCCGTGCTCGTGTGGCTCAGCTCCTCAGGGCCATGGGCATGGCAAGGGCTGGAGCTCTGGTGCCAGAGCGAGCCTGTGGTGATGCACGGCTCTGCTGGAGCCTCGTCGTTGCTGTCTGCAGGGGGGAGCCCCGGGGCAGAGGGTTCCTGCCCTGTCCCTAGGCAGCTCGGGCTGACTGCCTTCCGTGTGCCCCTCCAGCTCGGCAGCCACCATCTGTCAAAGGCGAGGCAATCTCTTTAATCAGAGCCTGGCAGTCTTGGGGGGAGCGGGCTTGGCAGGCATATATGCTGTGGGTTTGGAGAGGAGGGCCGGCCCCAAGACCTGCCCCGGCTGCAGCGTTTTACCCTTACTTAGACTAAAAAGATGGGGACAGATGCCACCCAAAGGCTATGCAGCTGAAAGTGCTAATCCACTTCTAATATGTTTCAGAGGAAAACTCTTGGCAGAGTCTAGAGAAAACGTAGGGTAGGGGGTGGCACTGGGGCTTGCTCATCCCACCCCCCCATTACCAGAGTGCAGGAGAAGTAGGAACCTGGGGAGGAGTCATGCTTATGGCCTGTGGCGGATTGCTGGGTCTGGTGGGTCTGACACCCTGATGTCCAGCTGCTCCAAGCCTTGGAGTCAGCCCTACACTCGTCTGGGCAGGGCAGGGCAGGGCAGGGCAGGGCAGAGGGGAGCCCCTGGCTCCTTTGGACAGCCCGTGTGGATGTTGCAGCTCCTGACCTTACCCTCTCTGCTGCTCCCCAGGGGCTGTCCCCTGCCAGTTCCTTCTGGTGTGGCAGCATGTTGGTGGCAGCAGGTATCGTGGCACAGGGAGCTGGTCCCCGCTGGACAGGCTCTGCTGCGGGTGGCACCTTCCTGCTCCCTCCAACTGGCGTGGGTCCCCCGCGGGTTGGGAACTGAGATGGCCTGGGCTCCGTGGTTTGGGCACAGGGCAGCGCTGGGCCCAGCAGCTCTGCTGTCCTGTGGGTCCCGTCATCACGCTGCTTTAGCCGCACTGGGGATGTGGCTGGGTGTTCCCAGTATTAGGGAGTGGAGGTGTTTGGAGGATGGGGGAGCAGCAGGCTGGAGCCAGGCGAATGCTGCTTTAGACCTGGCTCCGTTGCCTTGTGTGGCGAGTCCTGCCTGCCGAGGGGCAGCTCTGTGCCTGCCTCGCCTGGTGCCAGTGGGGAGCTGGAAACAGCAGCTGAGAGAGATTAGGGCAGTTTTTGGGGCCAGGGTGGCTGCGGAGCTGTCGTGAGTCGTGTGGGGGACAGGCTCCGTGGCAGCATGCGGCACTGCTGCCTGGCACTGTGCTGGGGCGAGTGCCTGGCCCAGGCTCGGAGAGTGCCTTCGCAGGACCCTGGGGTGGCCTCACTCCTGGTTAATATTGATGGGCCATGCCTGCACGGAGGCCTCGGGGCCCCGACCCAGCAGATCGTTTGCCTCGTTGCTGGGCCAGCTCGGGTTCCTCCTCGCTCCTAGCACGGCTCTCGGGTGGGATGAAGAGCTCAGCAGGCAGGTGAGCTCTTGGCTGTGAGGGTCTCTTTTCCTGCACAGCATCATGTCTGCCTGTAGCTTCCCAGGGTCAGACCAGCCTGTCCTTCACTGTCACGTGGGGTTATCTGAGGTGAAACCAGGCAAGGGGAAGAGGGGAAGCTGTGGGTCTCCTGGAGTGGGGCTGTGAGGTGGGGAACAGCTCCTGAGGCTTGGTCTGGAGGTTCGAGCAAAGCGAAGCAACGTCCAGGCCCTGCCCTCTGGGGGTAGCAAGGTAATCTTGGTGTGGGTCCTCTGTGCTTGTCTTCTGAGGACTCCCCCAGTCCTGAACTGGGCATGAGGGACTGGGCCTGGGATTGTCCCTTGTCTCTGAGCATCCTTGGTGAGCCCCTGCCCTGGAACTGGCCCAGCATCCTGAACACTTGCGCCTTCTCTGGTTTCCTCTGAGTCAGTCTCTCCGTCTCACTATCCTGGCCCCCTCTCCTCTGGGAAAGACGAGATGGGACTGGAGAGCGTCTACACCCAGCCGTGGAGGGCTGAGGGACCTGTGTCCCCTGCTGCAGCCCCACGGCCTCCAGGAGTGTGGGCTCAGCTCCTCCTACTCCTACTCTGCATCCTTGTGTGGGACATAGGAGAGGTCCTGGCTCTGCTGTGCATGCAGGTGTCTAGCAGGGTTGGTGCAGGGAGCTGGGGTGTCACTCAGGGCTCTGAGAGGGTGCAGGGAGCTGGGGTGTCACTCAGGGCTCTGAGAGTGGCACCAGCACTTCCAGGAGGGCAGAGCCTCTCCAGGGAGTCCCCAGCCCTTGCTGTGGGACGGCTGGGTGCCTGGGCAGTGCAGCGGCCTGCCCATGCTAAGCGTCTCTCCTCGCAGGTGCGGCACGGCAGGGATGAGGAGCCGGCAGCGGATGTTTGCGGCGGTGATGCGCCTGCTCCTCAAATGCCTGCGGCTGGGCCGGCGGCGGCGGTTTAAGCTGGTGCGGCAAGTGGAGCAGCTGTGGCACTACGGGCGCCTCTGCCTCCGTTCCTTGCTCTACAACTCCTTCACCAACAGCGACGTGGTGCTCGATTCCCTCTTTGAGCCTGTCTACTGGCTGGTGGACCACGTCACCCGTTGGTTCGGTGTGGTGAGTGTCCCCAATGGGGAGGGGTGCTCCTGGGGCAATTGAATCTTACCCCTGCAGGGACTGAACCGGCTGCCTGCACTGGGCTTGATGTGTGCTGTGCTTAGCTGGAGGGAGTGGGGGCTTTGGCTTGTGGTTCAACTCGTCTTCCCGTGCCTGAATCCTGCCTTGGTAGAATGGGGCAGGTGCTGCGTGCTCCCGTGACTCAGTTCCCTTTCCCATAGGTGTTTGTGGCACTGGTGATTGGGCTGACAAGCTCCATAGTGGCCATTGTGTACATCTGCCTGCTGCCCCTCATCCTGCAGACCTACACACCTGCCTGGATATGCTGGCACCTCGCCTACGGACACTGGAACCTCCTCATGATCGTCTTCCACTACTACATGGCCATCACCACCTCTCCTGGACACCCACCACAGGTGAGGCCAGGCCTGGGCACCAGTCAGCAGCCCAGCCTCTCCCGGGAGCAGGACCAGCACCAGCTGTAGGGGAAGCTCTGGGCTGCTCCCCAATTTGTGCTGCAGACGACTGCTGGGACCAGCCAGACCACCCTGGGGGCATCACTGCAGGAGCCCTCTTCCAGGATGGGGCGGCTGAGGCTGGGCAGTGCTGGGGCGGGGGAGTGATGGAGAGGTTGGTGGGGGGCAGGTAGTGGGCTGTCCCCAGTGCTGTTTAGGGCTCGCTCAGAGTCATAAGGGAGGTGAGGAGCATGGGAACAAAGTGCTGGAAGTAGGGGACAGGGCAGGGCTTGGGGGCACCAACCCTCTTCTGTCCTGTGTGCAGGCCAAGGACGATCTCACCGGCGTCTCCATCTGCAGGAAATGCATTGCTCCCAAGCCAGCTCGCACCCACCACTGCAGTATCTGCAACAGGTAGGGTCCCTCACCGTGCCCCACTGCCACCTGCACCAGGTAGTGCCCACAGCAGCCTGCTGTGCCCGTGCTGCTCAGGGCAGCTTCTGGGAGGCCTCTTCCCCCGCCACTGCTGCAGTACTGCAGGAGCTGGGCCCCTTCCCTTCCATTGGCTTCATGCCCTGTCTCCAGCATGTGGGGCTGGGAGGGCCAACTGCCTGCCCCCTTCCCAACAGCAGGTGCTTGCATTGGCACTGACACTTGTGCTGCTCTCCTCCCTCCCAGGTGTGTGCTGAAGATGGACCACCACTGCCGTATCCTTCTGCAATACTAACCCAATGTGCTCCCCTGGGGGGCACCAGCCCTGCTTCCTCCTCCTCTCCCTGCCCTGCTCCTCTCCTGAGTCACCTGGCCCCGGGAAGGGTGCTAGGAGCCAGGCTGGGCTTATGGGCCAGAAGGGGCCACCCTTGTCCCTGCGGGGTGGGTTCACATCTGTGGCCTATCACAGTTACACACCTTTAACCCCAGAGGCAGCCTGGCTGAACAACTGCGTGGGGCACTTCAACCATCGCTACTTCTTCTCCTTCTGCCTGTTCATGACCATGGGCTGCATCTACTGCAGCATTAGCGGCTGGGACATGTTCCGGGACGCCTATGCAGCCATTGAGGTGAGCGGGGCAGGCCCAGACCCGCCCTGGCCCTTGCGCCACGGCCTGCTGTGGGAGAGGAAGCGCTAGTGCGTGCAGAGAGCTCCCCGGGTTGAGCTTGCAGCATGAGGCTGGACCAGCCCCGGTCTCTTAGCGACTTTGTTTTCTCTCTCTCACCTCCTGCGGGGCCCCCAGCTGCCCTGGTCCTGCTGCAGGGGGGTGAGTGGGAAGGGCCTTCTCCTCTGAGACATGTAACTGGTGCCCTGTGTTTTCCATCCCCCTAGAGAATGAAACTGCTTGAGAAGGAGAGACTGCAGGTGGCTGCCAACCAGGTGGGACATCCCTGCTCCCCAGCTGCTCCAGGCAGCGTGGAGCAGAGCTGCCCTGCAGCTCTCTGCAGGCTGGGTCCCTGCTCTGGGTCCTGCTCTCAAGGTGTAGCCCTTGGCAGGAACAAACCAGCCCCCATGCTCATGTTATGGGTCAAGAGATCTGGGGCTGGGCAGCTCTGCTACAGGCACTGCCTCCAGCAGTTTGGGGGCTGCTTCCCTGAGTACAAGTTTCCAGCAGCTTTGGCTGCTGTCAGCAGTGGCCTTGGGGCCAGGCAGCATGTTCAGCATGTGCTGCTCAGGCCTTGTCTTCTCGTGGGGGGAGCTGGAGTAGTGGTGTGTACACATTTCAGGCTGAGCATCATCCGCTGTGTGGTGCGGTGTCCTGGCCGGCCCCGTGGCTGCTCCCTGTCCCCTTACCTCCAACCTGCTGCTTCTCACTCATCTGCTGGCTGCCAGGTGGTGTCCGTCTGTCTCATGGCTGTCGCAGACTGCCTCGTCATCACCTTAGCTGTTATGTTGCTGCTGGTCTCAGCCCTTTTTGGCTGCCTGATCCCTGCATTAATCACAGGCACAGCAGTCCACTGATCTGGCCCTTGAGCTACAAAGCCGTTTTTGTAATCCACCCGTCCCTTTTTTTTTGCAGACGTACTACCAGACCCCACCACCCACCTTCTCCTTCCGCCAGCGGGCTTTCCACAAGAGCGTAGTCTACCTCTGGGTCCTGTGCAGGTAACGGGGCACAGGGGCTAGGAGCACGGGCGCTGTGGGAAGCAGAGCTAGATGTGCAGCCTGCTGCAGCCCTGCACTGCGCTGGGACGTTGGTTCCGCTCTGTCTTCCCTTGGGCTGGGCTGACTTTGTCTAGCAGACACCTCACTGTCCTGCTGGCTCTGTGGTCACGGTGGAGCAGGAGAGACTTCAGCTCCCTGTCACACAGGATTAGATGAGCCAGGGTACCTATGCTGCAGTGGGTGCAGGCTGGTCCCTTACATGGGGAGGCAAGCTCAGCCGCCCCCCCTCATATCTACCTCACCAGGGCAGGCCTGCGTGTGACCTGCTGTCCTTTGCTGTCCCTTGCTGTCCCCAGCTCAGTTGCGTTGGCCCTGGGTGCCCTTACGTTGTGGCACGCTGCCCTCATCACTCGTGGGGAAACCAGCATTGAGAGGCACATCAACAAAAAGGAGAGGCAGAGGCTGCAGAAGAAAGGCAAGGTGAGCGCAGCGTCCAGAGGAGGAAGGCTGGCTGGGGCAGGGCCAGACTTGATGAGCATCTCTCTGGCCTGCAGGTGTTCAGGAACCCCTACAGTTTCGGCAGCTGGAATAACTGGAAGGTGTTCTTGGGCGTGGACGTGCCAAGGTAAAGCCCTGGGGAAGCCCTTCTCTAAGAAGGGCAGTAGCATGTGTAGGTGCCAGGACTCCCCAGTTCTCTGCAGGACAGTGACTATCCCCTGCTATGCACTACCCTCAGCTGGCCCTGGGAAGGACCTGGGCTGGCCCTTGGGCCTGGGAGTGGCACAGCCCTCACCTGCCCCTTGGCTCCTTAGCCCTCCCCAGGGGAGAGCTCTGGCCTAGCTGGCACCCCTTTTGCCCACTGCTGCAGGGCAGTAGGCTCCCAAGGGGGCTTCAGCAGAGAAGCTTGGCCTTCCTAGTAGCTCAAGGATGTGGGCTCACTCCCCTCACTTATCTTGAGGGTCCTGCTCAGCTCCTGCAGAGCTGTGAAGCACCGGGAGTTTTTTGCTGCAGGTTTCATTTCTCTCCTCAACAGACACTGGCTCACCCGGGTCTTGCTGCCCTCTCCTCACCTGCCCCACGGAACAGGCCTGAGCTGGGACCTCCCGCCCTGCGTGATGGAGCAGCGTGCACCGCTCCTGGCCATCTGAGGCATGGGGCCTGGGTGCTGTAGTTGTCCTTGCCCTGCAGGCAGGGAAGCGCAGGACCACCACTGTCGTCCTGTTTGGCCCAAGCGCCTGGCTTAAGGCAGGTGCTGGCACGTGCTGCCAGCTGGAGCCAGAGCCATCGGGAACTCTTTGGACTGTATCAATGCCTGAACGCCTGCTCTCCTGGCTCTTTGGTGGCTGCAGGCAGCCCTAAGAGGGTGCTCCCCCGCTAGCTGAAGGTGCTGCCCTTCCTACACACAGGTACAGATCAGTGCATGGTGCAGCTTAGCTCTCTGGACCTTGGCTTGGGTAGGGCTGGGATCAGAGGATGGTGTACTTCCCCCCAAGTACTCCCCAGGGAGCCTTTTTAAGAACATAAGAACATCCAATAAACGGTTGGTTTTTTTAAGGAGACTGGCTCTTTTCCCTGGTAGGAGGACGCAGTCTCCTGGTGGCAGGGGAGGAGAAGGCCCCCGTAACTTCCTCAGCCAGCTTAGAAGGGAGCAGGAGCCTGTAACCAGCACCTTTAGCTACAGAGGCATCCCAGGCCCAGGGGATCCTGCCTTCTTCTTGGACTAGCTCAAGGGGGAACGAAGCCTTTCACCAACTGAGGGCCTGCGACAGCCCTGGGTGGGGAAACGGCCCCAGCAGTAGGGGCAAAGGAAAAGCAAGGCCCAGCAGGACAGGACTGTGTAACGGATCCAAGAGCATGGGGGTCCCAGCCTGGACTGCAGTGAGAGTCCCCACAGCATTACCAAAACAGGCGTGTTTATTCTCCTGGCAGGCAAATTGCCACACACTGTACACATGTGCACAGGCCTGCCCTTGCCACTCACATGTGGCGAGTCTGTCCATCACTGGCTGCAGCAGGGGCTGGGCAGGCCCCAGGCAGCACAGCTTCTTCCCCCCTGCAGGCGCAGGGAAGAGCAGGGGGTGTCGGGAAGGGGCCGCAGTGCTGCCTGCTGGCCCCCACGGCAGTGCTGGGCCCCGAGGGAGGCTGGGTCTGTCTGTGGCAGCAGTCAAAGAGCTTGGCAGGTTAGTGGGGTCCTGGTTAGATTGTCAGTCAGCACAGGGAGGAGATGCAGGGTGCTCACCTGCCTGGGCTCCCCAGCAAGAACCTGTGGGGACAGAGATGGTGCCATCAAGCCAAGCCCCCAACCCTCTGGCTCCCCAGTGGCTACAGCAACACACTCACCACTCCCCCCGTGCTGCCACTGCCTCCTTCCGCACCAGCCTCTTCTTGTCATCTAAAGGCTTGGCCAGCGCCCGGATGACCCGTGCCTTGTATGGGAGCAGCTGCAGGACAGAGACTGCTGTTACTGAGACAGCCAGAGTGCTGTCTGCCCCCCCAGGAGGAAGGCTGGGACCCTCTGTGCCCCTCCACCCAGGGGCAAACACCAAGCTGTGGTGAAGAACTTACCACTGCGGTGGGCAGGCTGGTGAGCGCGTGGGCACAGCGCAGGGCAGCAATGCGGACAGCCTGGAACAGACAGGAGTGAGCACCAGCGGAAGGGACAGGGGTGCGAGGCAGAGAAGAGGGGTGCATGGGGCAAAGGAGAGGGGGTGCACGTACCATGGTGGGGCTGGAGGCAAGGCTGAGGAACTTGCTGACCAGTGTGTCGACGTGCAGGCTCATGATCTGGGGGGCTTCAAGCAGCAGCGGCTGGAGGCAGCTCAGTGTGGAGAGCTGCACTACACGGTCCGAGCAGGACAAGGCCTCGAGCAGCAGGGAGAGGAGCTGGGAGGACACAGGAGACATGAGTAATCTCCCAACTGCATGCTCTGCGCTGCCACAGTCTTCTCCCTGCCAGGCCAGCACTCACCGTGGGCAGCTCTGTCACCAGCACTGGCTTGGGGAGATGGTTGAGCACATGGGACAGGCCCTTCAGGTAATTGGCCTTCACATCTGTGGAGAGCAGAGGTGGTTACAGGTGGCAAGAAGAAGAAGGGGGGCACCAGGTGGCAGTGGCAAGCCCAGCCCCGCAGGCCAGGCTGAGGCCGAGGGGCGGCTGCTCACCGGGGCCAGCCCCGTGGAAGCCCTGCACCAGCTTGGGCACGTTGTCAGTGAAGAAGCGCTGGCGGAACATGAGGCGCACGTCGGCGTGGCAGCCCTTGTGCAGCACATCTGGGGAGTCGGCCATGAGCAGGGAGAAGCCGTCGGCCGCGGCGGGGCCCAGCTCCGCGTCACCCAGCAGGCCCAGCAGCTGTGAGGGAGAGAGCCCTGAGACCATGCGTTGTGGTGCCAGGGGTTCCCACGAGCTGTGGGGGAAGCGGGCAGGCTCCTCTGAGAGCACCCAGCCCCATGTGCAGCCTACCTTGTCTGTCAGGTGGGAGCTCAGGGGGTGGTAGCGCAGCACTAGGGCTTTGGTCACCTGTGCAGGTAGAGCAGAGTCAGAACGCGGCCGGCTCCCTGGCTCCCCCCGCCTCCCCCCCCGCCTCCAGCACGCGGGGCAGGCCTTACCCAGAGCAGCAGGGTGAGTGCCTGCGTTCGGTGGGGCCCCTCCACAAGGCCAGGCTCCATCCTGTTCACTGCCAGCTGCAGGATCTCATCCAGCTGCTGCCCTGGGGCCACAGAGGAGACAGGCTGATCATCCCTCCAGCAGCGCTGCGCCCAGACCCACGGCAGCCTGCCCAGCTCTCTTACCTGCCGGGTGCTTATTCACCAGCCCTGCAAAGCATTTGGCTGCCGTGGTGGCTGTGAAGGGGCAGTTGCAGGAGCAGCTCAGGGCTAGCAGCTCCCGGAGGAGCCTTTGGCCTGTTATAGCCTGGGGGCCACAACTGCTCCCCTTCCTCTGCCAATAGAACTTGCTTGATCCACAGACCTGGGCAGGACCCTCAGCCACAGCCCCTCCACCCTGTTCCCCCAACTTACGTTGCGGGGCAAGGAGCAGACGAAGGCCATGAGGAGAGCAACAAGGCGTCTTTGTGCTTCCAAGCGCTCCCCACCCTGGGAGGGAAGAACAGCCCCCGCATCACCATAGTCCTTGCTGACAGCAAGGACTGTCCTTCCGGCTGTGCCCACAGTCTCATCCCTTGCCTCTGCTCAGGCATCCCAGCCCCAAGCACCCCACGCACCTCAAAGGGCCGGAAGGAGCAAGGAAAACTGTTCTGGGGCAGGAAGGAGACCTCTCCATCCAGGAAGAGGGGCACCACATGAGACACACTCTGGGCGGCCAGTCTAGGAGAAAGGAGACATCGCAATGTGCTGCTCTGGGAGCGTCACCAGAGAGCTCTGGGGTACCTCTCAGGTGGCATGGGATCTCCCTGAACAAATAGCAGTGGAGGGGGATGCAGTGTGCTCCTCCCCACAATGGCATGCTGTGGCCAGCACCCCAGTGGCCCACGCCAGCATCACTCACTCAGGGCTCAGATGAGTGCTGGCAGCGCTGATGACAGGGACCATGGCAGCCAGGGCCTCCTCCTCTAGCAGTGCCTTGCCCAGCGGCAGGTGGGTGCTCTCTGCAGACAGCAGGATGAAAAGGGACATGTCACAGCCATTCAGCCATGACCAGGTGGCGCAGGCCTGTGATCCACACTGGCTGTGGGGTGCTGCAGCTCTGACCCTGCCAGCAGGGCACCAGTGTCTGCAGTGTCTGCGTTTGCAGAGGATGACAGCAGCTGCACTGCCAGCTGCAGGGTCAGGGACCCCAAAGGGGCTGCCGGGACCCCACAGAGCCCAGTGAGCTGCCCCTTGTCCCCCTCTCCCGCTCCAGCCCTGCACCTACCTTGCATGGCAGCCTGCACAGCCAGGGCCAGCAGGCAGGGCACCACCGTTTGGTGGTAGTACCAGCAACTCTCTGCATCCTGCTGGCACTGCAGGGCCACACGGTGGAGGCTCTGGCACACAGAGACCACGTCTTGGGCGTTCCTGGCCTCACTCCCTGCAGGGCACAGTCACCATCACATCAAACAGCCTCTGCCCCCATCCCAACAGTGCTGCGATCCCAGGGACAGCACACTGGCAGCACCCAGGCGTGTGCTGCCATTTACAGAGCATGGGTGTGTGCTGCCATTTACAGAGCATGGCTGAGCCCAGGGGTATGCAGCCCTCCCTCCTCACCCCCCACCAGTGGGATTCACAGGCCAGCCCCGCTGCCCGCATCAACCCCACCTCCTTGCTTTCCCAGCCTCCCTTTCAGCCCTTCCCCTGTGACAGAGGCAGCTCCTGCCCGGAAGTGCTGCGTGCAGCTGCCCACCACGGGCTGCGTTACCTTTCTGCACCTGCCGGAGGTGCTGCAGCAGAGCAGGGACCGTCTCCCTCACGATGCTGGTGTGCGTGGAAACAGCTGCCAGGGCCTGCAGGCAGCGCTGCTGCAGGCAACGTGGGGCACGGGAGCCCTCCTCTTCCCGCTCTGAACAGGACGCACACATCAGAGGGGCGTTGTGGGGACGCCCAGGCCCTCCAGCCCAAGGGCAATCAGGGCCCAGACCACGTCAGGTTGGGTGGGATGAAGAACACAGCAGAATTAGTCCATTCCGAGCAAAAAGGGACCCTGGCTGGTCTGTGGCTCGGCAGCTCCTCCCCACACGGGTGATCCTGGCAGCGCAGGCTGGTTGCCAGCCCGAGGCACAGCCTTCCCTGTGCCAGCACCATGGGGCCTGCACTGGGAATCCCCCAGTGAAGGGAGCCATGGACCCACCCGGTGTGGCAAAGCCTCACTGCTAGTAGGAGCCAAAGAGGGATGGGACCAGAAGTCATTCACTTCCCTACGGCCACCAGCCCCTACCTGACCGCAGCTCCTCTCCAAGCCTTGGTACCATCTTCCCAGAGAAAACCTGTGGATAGAGCGGGGCCAGGGATCCAGCTGCCTCCATTGCTGCTTCACTGCAAGGTGGGACGAGAGTAAGAGTGATGACGTGAGTGCTTCAAATCCTGGGCTGCTTGTACACAGGCTGCAGAGACCTGGGCCAGAAGGTGCCTCCAAAACCTACTTCTCAGCAATCTGCCCTGTTCACTCTGCTGGGAGGTAATGCAGAGCCCCTGCTTTGACAGGCCCAGACTTTGCAACTTCCAGCCTAGAAACTGCCCATTTATCCCTTGGCTCTTATACCCATGCAGTATTTTAGTTCAGATAGCTCCTGTGTCACCCAGATTACAGACCCTTTCTGCAGCAAAGCCAGATTTTGTTCCTCTTCCCAGAGTGTGGGTGACTGGAATGGCTCCAGCCAGCCCCTCACCTGCTCTGGGAATCCTCCTCGTGCAGAATGAGCCGCAGGAGGTGATCCACGACCAGCTCCAGGTCAGGAGGAGACAGGAAGCCTGGAACAAGAGCCATAGAGGAAACCTGCCCTTGGCCAAAGGCAAAGATGCTTGTGTCCTGGCCAGCATCCTTCTCTCTCATCCAGGTTATTAGCAATGCAGCAGCATGCCAAACTCCAGAGACACAGGGTGTCCAGTATGAACAGGCAAGAGTGAGATCAAGTTTCCCTGGAACTTGTGGCCTAGCTAGGAAGTGCCGCCACTTCTCCTGCACAGCCACACATGGCACTGGATCTGACCGCCCCCCAGTGCAGCATGCCAGGTGTCACTCATCAGCCACATGCTACCACATCTCCTAGAATGGAGTGACACGTCCCTTTGCCCCCCCCCCCCCCGCCAGGGGAAGCAAGATACCAACCTTGCAGTGAGCCCAGGACAGTCAGGGCCCTGATTCCCACCAACTGCAGCTGCACGCTGGGGTCTGTCATTGCTGAGAACACCACAGAGCAGACTGGGGCTCGAAGCGACAGCAGAGCACTCTCATCTGGAGACAGAGGCAGGCACAGAGTCACTGCCTGCGTTGGGCTGTCACAGCACAGCCACTACTGCAGCACCTGACAGGCCCTTCCCGGGGCCCTGCTGATCCACACTCAAGGATGTGAGAACCCTGGGACGTGGCTGGCCGTTTGCACACGCAGCCATCCAAGTCAGGGTGCTTTCCTTCTCTGCCAGCATAGGAGAAGGTGAGGGCAGCGCCGTAACCCCTGAGACATGGATGACTCCAGAGGGATCAGCAAGCCTCACCTTCTTCCACATGTCCCCATTTCTGCTGCAACTCCAGGAAGCCGAGCAGCATTTCCAGGATTGTCCTTCTCTGGCTGCTCTGCAGGGGCACAGAAGCATAACCCAGATCACTGTCACTGCTGGGACACTGCTATGTCTCAGCCCAGTGCTTCGAGGCCAGAGGGTGCACACAGGGTCCCCACCCACAAACAGGGAAGGACACCCACTTTGATAGATGCCCTCTACCAGTGCCCACTCCCACCACACCACGCAGAACCACCAGCTGTGCTCAGCCTTGCTGTCTGTGATGACAGAGCCCAGGGTGCCCCTCACCTGCGGGTGCTTGGTGTACTGCTCCAGCAGCAGGGGCACAACGCTGCAGGTGATGCGGTGGCAGGTGCGGAGGGAGGCACCCGCTGCTGCCTGCAGGAGCTTGGCACTCGGCCACACCAGCTTCATGTCGGGCTCGCACAGATGGTGCCTGCAATCTGAGATAGGCTGGGTGTCAGCCGCACCGGCAGAGCTGCTTCTGCCCTGCATGCAGGGACCCAACAGATATCTGGGCTGGGACATGCTGCTGAGCTCTGGGGTACCACGGCTCTAAGCTGCAGCATGGCCTCCTTAACAGAGCAGCTTCCCCCAGCTCCCAGGGCCACAGCCTTAGACACCCCAACCCCAACAGAGAGGGAAGCAACTCAATCCAATAGGTATTTCTTACTGTGCCCCCTTTTCCTCCCTCCTGCAGTCAATTCCCTTGGGGAAGCCAACACTAGCTGTGAGAGCTAGAAAGGAAAGAAATAAGTTTCAAAGAGAATAGGAGGGCAGATCCCCTCTGGCTAGGAGGATGCTTGCTGTGCCAGGCCCTGTCCAGCAAGCCTGGCTGCTCAGGGCAGGGTAGCTATCTCTGCTGGCTACCTTGCAGGACACTGCTGAGGAAGGAGTCCAGCAGGTCCTCGGTGTCGGAGCTGAGAACGGAGCAGGAGAGGCAGGCAGAGAGAGCATGCAGCGCGGTCAGGCACTCCGCCTCAACCTTCTCACTCGCCGTCTGGAACACCTACAGAAGAGGCCATAGGACAAGCTGAGTCCAGTGCTGACCCCAGCTGCAAGCTTCATGCTCCAAACATGGGCTGAAGGGCTCAGGCTCCAGCTTCGCTTCCTGCATGCTTAGAACATGCAGCGTGGCACACCCAGCGAGCTTCAGGGATGGATGCTCTGGTAGGGGCAGCCTCTCCCCACATTTCAACCAGGGCTGTCCAAGGCCATGGGTGGGGACTGCTGGGAGATACACGGCCTTCCTGGTCTGGCTGCAAATGTCTGCCCAGCAGAAGCCCACCTGTGCTGGAGCATTTGCTGGGGGTCCCGCAGTACTCACCTCCCTGCGCAGGGACGACCAGAGACTGGGGAGGAATTCCTGCAGCTCCTTCTGCCCATAGATGGCACAGCAGGCTGTCTGCAGGAGGGAGCCAGGAGCAAGCGTAAGAGAGAAGCCAGTACACGGAGGACACAGACACTGCTCGCCCCACCAGGCTCATACAGGGCTGCACGAACCACACAAGGGAGAGAGGAAGAGGAAGGAGTGATACCGGCCAAATAAGGACCCTGGAAACAATGGACCAGGTTCTGTAAGGGAGAATTTTTGACTGGCAGAGACAGGAGAGGGACTTGAAAGTGGCTGGATGCTGCTCCCTCCCAGCAGGCCAGGCCAGCTGTGGGCTGAAGGGAGAAGGGGATTCTTCCTTACCAGCGTCTGCAGGGAGTCAAGCTTGGCACTTTGCAGGTCCGAGTCCATCTTCTCAATGAGTAGAGGGAGTAGAAACTGTAGAGAGAGGCGGTTAGACTCATCCTACCCTTTGCGCCACCTTAATAAATACATCTGTGGCCCCATGGGAACCGCACACTCAGCCTCTGCCAGGAGAGCTGAAGAGGGGGGATACCTGCAATAGGCAGCCTCTTCCCAGGGCGTCAGTACCAGCACCCTCCCTTTGCCCAGCCCCAGGGACGGGTGGGACCTGGGGGCTGCCAGCAGAAAACAGGGTTGCCTTTGCATAGACTCCTTGTCCCTTATCCCAGCAGATCCTTTCCCCTGGAGTCACACAGGGAGCTGCAGCACTATGAAATGCAGCCTGTGCTAGAGGAAGAGCTGGGTGCCTAAGAGCTGTCAAGGAGCCACCTACCTCAGCAAACAGGGGTGTGGAGACCAGTACGGCCCGGAGGCTCAGGATTAGGTCTTCTCTCTGGATGCCATGAGGGTCATTAGGGGGCTAGAAGGGGAACACAGAGAGCAGGCGACCTGTTAGGAAACCTCCCAATACAGCCATCAGCTGAGGCTGCACCACCTCCTCTCCAGTAGGGCAGCAGCAATGCCAGTCACCGGAGCCAGCCTGGCATGGGCCTGCCAGCCTGGATACCATGGCTTGCAGCACAGCACTGCCCAGCCAAGCCTCTTGCCCACCCTCTCCTCCCATTCCCTGTAGGGGACATAACGCCATGAAAAAACACTAGGAAAAGGAATAGTCTATGGCAGGGTGCAGACTCACTCACTGGAGTAAAATCAATGGGGAAGTAGCAGGACGTCACTTCAAACAGCTCCTCCACAAAGGGACCTGCAGGGAGAGCACAGAAGGTATGAGCAGAGATGTTGGGGAAGAGGAGCACACAGCATCCATGCTTAGCACCAGCCACAGGCTGGCTCCGCAGCTCCCAAATCACATCAGGGACAACCCCAGTCCTGCTTGGACCCAGGAGACATCCCTCTGACAACAGAAAGAAAAGTGACACGTCCCCTCATCAGCTCTGAACGGCATGTGCAGGCTCACCCAGGGCGTAGTTCTTGACAATGAGATCACGCACGATCTGGAAGGCCACCAGTAGGTTGCGGGGATCCTTCTCCCCGTCCATCACCTGGATGAAGCCAAAGGTGAAGTCAGCGCCCAGGCCCTTCAGCTCTGCAGAAAAAAGGTGTGTGAGCAGGAAGGGCTGCAGGACTCCAAACCTCACCAGCGTGACAGTGAAACCAGCCCTGCTTCCCCAGCTCAAGAGCCTTTCCAGCTCTTCCCAAACACTGCCACACAACCCTCCGACCTGAGCAGGAAAAAGCGAGCCATTTTCCCAGCCTGAGCAACTCCAGCATGGATTTGGCCTCAGCCCCCTCACCTTCCTCTCTGGTGCCCATGAAGTTGGTGATGATGCTGTAGACTGTGTGACGGTCCAGCTGCAGCAGGGACTGCGATTAGAATAACGCAAAGCGATTAGAACAAGCCTCCATACGTTGCTACACGTTACCCAAGGGCATGCACATGCCCTTGAGCACCAGGCAGGACCTCCAGGAGCTCAGCTGCTGCTTCCTGCCACACAGACCCCATTTACCACGTGCAAAGTGTACACAGGCTTGTGTGACTGCACTTGAACACAACTGTGCCCTTCGGTGCACATATACCCAACCCAAATCATGCCAGGGCCACACATGCTGCCTGAGGCCCTGCCACCATAGACAGCCTTAAGAAATAGAAGAGTCTGGGGGCGGGGGCTCTTAAATACAACCTGGAGAACAGAGGAGAGAAAGGTAATTCCACCAGTGGTGAGAGAAGAGAGGGCAAGGGCCAAATATGATCCTCAGCTGCGTTTTGCCTTGCAGTGAGCTGCACTGTCTCTAAGCTCCCTTGGAGCACTGCGCTGCTACTGGCAGACATGAGCTCAGTCCTCATGGCAGGCAGGCCACCCCCAGACACACAGAGAACAGCGACAGGAGCAGGAGGGAATCACATTGCTCACCTGCACATGTACCTCCTGGAAGATGGCTTTGAGCACGGACACTGCTAGCCCCGGGGCCAGCACCTCACACATACTCTGTAGACAGGCAAAGTAAAGAAAGAATAGAAACCATCACAGCAGCCCAGAGCTCCTGCCCTCTGTACAGCAGCACTGTACCTCTAGCACTGCAAGATCCTCCCAAGACCCTGGGGAGAGCTTGCCATCCTCACTAACAGGACAAGACGAGACCCTTGTCTCTCCTGCTGGGAAAGGCACTAGCATATAGTGGGCAGGATCTAGTCTGCTCCCCAGGGTGCTCCGTGAGTTCCTGCCCCAATAATAGCATGGGGCAGGAAATCAAGGCAGTTCCAACTCCCTGCCACTCTGCAAGGGACATAGCAGGAGCAGAGGAGACAGGGCAATGTTAACTGGGCAGGAGCTGACAGCCCAGCTGGACTCTGCTTGACACACTGCTCCAGCCTGTACCCAGGTGATGCACCTCCCCAGCCCCACTCTGGAGCACGTCCTTGCAGCTGCGGGCTTGGAGGGCGAGAGCTCACCAGCGCTCTGAGTCCCTGGAGCACTGAGGGGATCACGAGGTGATGATCTTGCAGTCGGTTCTCATAGAACAGGACCAGATGCAGCACTGCCAGAAACAGACACCGAAGTGCGTTAGGCTCCGGAAACTCAACTGCTGCGCACCAGCCCCAGCTCTGTCAAAAGCAGCTGCAGGCTGAACAGCGAGCAAACCTCGCACTGATGAATGTGAGGGCTGATCAAGCTTCACTGCCACTGTTCGGTGCACCCACCTGGCTCTGACGCCTTCTCCCTTCCCCTGTGAACGACCCACGTCTGACCGCAGCGGAGCAGCACCCACCTCTGCCCACTGCAGAGGTGCTGGAGCTACCAGGGAGGTGGCTGCCCCGGCTTGCCTGGACACGTGGGTGCAGACACCGGCAGGGAACCGGCTGACGCCTGCTCAGCGGAGGGCCTGCAGGACGTCATGGGGTGGGGCGCAAGGCTGGAGCAGAAGCCCTGGGTTTCCTGTGTTTGGTTCCACAACACGTTCCTGGGCCCTGAGTCACAGCCATGGGCGCCTGCATACCCGAGGCCTGGGGAACGGCAGCAGGAAGCAGACTGGAAGAGCCGGCTGGCGGGAACCCAAGCGGCACCCTGCACCCACAGCTGCTGCAGAAACTCACTTCCCCAGGAGGCAGCCTGACGCAGCACGCTTGAGAAATGAACCGTGTGAGGAGGGCCAAGAAGGGAGATGGGCCAGCCAGGGGGGTCACAGCAGCTGCCTGGGCCCTCCCAGAGAGCTGGCTCTGCCCACCCTCCTCTAGAGCTCCTGGTGACTTGGTTGTAACTCAGCTCCTTCCTCTCTCGCAGTTGTCTTTGCTCTGCCATGCCTCCCCACTGAACCTTACCACCTCTGTCCATCCCTCCAGAGCACCCCCGTCCCCATCACTGTCACTGTAACTGATTCCAGTTACACCAGTAGCTCTGTGTGCACTTCTCTCTGCACAGCTGCTCTCAGCTCTGCCTGACACCAGCCTGAGCCTCACAGAGAGCCACAGGCCAAGGCCTGAGTGCCTTTTACCTCTGCCCTTCCCTTCTTCCACCTCACCTACTCGCCTTGTCCCCCCACCCTGTTGGCACAGGCTCAGCTACCCATCAGCAAACCCCTTGCTCCAAGTCAAAGTTTGACAGCACTTACTGGCTTCCCCCACTGCCAGCCAGCAACTATGCGGCACTTAACACAGCTCAACCTTCTCCTTGCCTCCCTGAAAGGAGCATTTTCCTCCTTCCCCCGAGGTCCTCCACTCCACCATCATCCTTACACTTATCTGACTTCCCCAGGCCACAGGGATCCCCATCAGCATAAACGTGGGCAGGCACCAGGGCTGCGCTGCGACTTCCTTTGCAAATGATGGCTTTCCTGCAGTGAATCACCACCTAAGGATTTGGACATGCAGATACGTCCCCCAGCCTTCCACGTGCCACTGAGCACGCCTGGGTGTGCAACACCCACACACTGCTGGGGGCACCAGCTGCCACTTCAGGGCTCTGCTTCATTCAGGGAGTGACCCAAATTGTGTTGTGAGGGTAGGAAAAGGCTGCAGTGTGAGGCACCTCATCCTCCTTGGACTTCAACCCTTGAGACACGTACAGCGTTGTCATGGTACTAAATCAATCGCGTTGCCAAGTGGAGGACGGACCCTCTCAGGGCACAGGCTTTTCCCTGACCCTGCCAGCAGCCACCCAAGGGCCCAGTGCAGCCTTACCTTCCTTCTCCTGGAGCAGGGAATAACACTGGAGCAGGACTTGCGACAGCAGTTGGATGCCTCGCCCTCGCGTCCGAGGATCTGTGTTCTCCAGACAAGACCTAGCCAAACATGGTGGAAATCCAGCAGGCCTCTTGTGAGCAGGGACAGTTGAGCAGAAAGCGCACCCTGAGCAACTTCTCATGGTGAGAACATGAAGAAGTCCTGCTGTCCAAGCAGGGGGCCGGTGACACAGTCCTGCCCAACCTGGGTCCTCTCCTGGCATCATCCCTCCTGCCTGGAGAGTGGGAGCAGAATCCTCCTATCCTGACTTTGCTGCAAGCATGCATCTGGCCTCAGAGCCATGCAACCATAAATCCAGAGGAAAGAAGCCTCTTCTCAAGTCAGAGCAAAGAAAAAGCTCTTGCACCATGCTCTACACCTTACACTCAGGCTCCCAAGATCAAAAGGGCTGAAAAAGGTTAAAGCCTTAGACAACAGCATCATACAAAGAGTCAAACCCAGCCTCCAGCTTGGGAGAAACGAGCCTCCCTGAGTCCCAGGCCACGACAGCTCACAGACAAAAGCCAAAAAACTGAGCAGCGGCCAACTCACGACACAGAGACATGCAGCTGTGTACTCAGCCAGCTCCTGCTAGGGACAGCCCCAACTGAGATGTGCCCTGCAGCTCACTGCCTGCCACAACACCTCTCCTCAGGCCTGGGAGAGCCTCGAGGCCTGGTCTGGCCCTGCCCTTTCCCAAATGGCTCTTGAAGTCTGAGAGGACAAAACACAGCTCAGCCCCAGTGCTGTTAGTGGACAACATATTTGCAGGCCTGTGTGCTGCAGCATGTTTGCCCAAGGGCTGGAGCTAACTTTAGCTCATCCTGGATGAGTTGTTACCACACACGTTTCCTTCTCACAAACCCTCCTTGCGGGACTCTCCCGCCCAATACCCTTGTATGATGCAAAACATGTGCAAAGCTTTTCTTACCCAAGGGCTTCCACAAGCTGCAGTACAGTCCAGCTTCCATCTTTCACCCCTGGAGACAGAAAACGATTAAGTGAATAAACCAAGGACTCCCAAACTGGCGCATAGGCAGGGTGCTGCAGACACATGAAGTGCCCCAGCGCCACTGTGGAAAAGGCTGATCTGGGTGCCAGCACCTCCTTCAGCACGGAAGGAGCTACGTGCTGCTCCCGAGAGAAGCAGCTTCACTGTGCTCTGCTTTGCCAAGGCACCAAAAAGCACTTCTCTAAGGTGGGCACACCAGGAGGAGCCAGAGGGCAGCTTCCCAGGTGCTCCCCAAGGGAGAACAGAAATCACTCTTAACGGGTAGTAGCCCAGCCAAACAGCCCAGACACTAACGAACACCCAACTTTCCACCTTGGCTCCAGCATCTCTGTGCTGCACTAAGTGACACCTGCACAAACTTGCTGCAAGATGGAGAGAAGGAAGAAATATGGTTTTGCGGTCAGAGTAAGACACAGCATCGGCAGGCTATTGCCAGCTCTGATTCAGACACCCCAGCCAGGTTGCTTCACTCA